ACGCAAAGGAATATTTCCCGAAGCAAAAGTTGATCCGGTTATACAGATTGCAAATATGGTTACAATTCAAGGTTAGTCATATCGGAATTAATAGACAATTACCAAAATAAAGCCTGATAAATTTATATATTTCATAGGTGAAAACAAACCTTTTATTAGAAATGTCTTCACTTTGAATTCGTGCGCACCAATCATTGCAACGGATGTCATAGAATATTATGATCAAGCAGAGATGTTACAAGCGTGGAGTGACTTTGTTGTCGAGGTTGCCTGATTTGTGCTATTCATGATCTGAATGTTTTTGAGTGATCTGCGTTTATTTTATTATTTATTTATTCATAATTTACAGGTGGATCCTGATGTCATAATTGGTTATAACATTACGAATTTTGACTTGCCCTATCTACTTGAACGGGCTCAACACTTAAAAGTCAGAAGATTTCCCTTTTTCAGTCGTATTAAATGTAAGCAAGATTTTGACAAGTGTTTAATTTCATTCTCTTCATTAATTATCAAGCTTCTATTAACTGCTCAAAACTAATAAAGCGACTAGGATTGATGTTAAGGACACCAGGTTCTCTTCTAAAGCTTTTGGAACACGTGATAGTAAAATGATGAATATCCTTTTTCACATGAATGCTAAGCTTTATCAACAGTAAAGTTAAGATCGATCTTACCAGTCCTTAACTGACATTTACATATTGATGGAAGAGTTCAATTCGATATTTTAACCGTAATGCAACGCGATTACAAATTGAGATCGTATACATTAAACTCCGTTAGCGCACATTTTCTAGGTTTGCATGAATAAAATATGTTGACATTATTTTTTACTTTATTATTAACATGTACTTCATTAATAGGAGAACAAAAAGAAGAGGTGCATCACTCTATAATCACTGACTTACAAAATGGAAATGCTGAAACGCGTCGTCGACTCGCCATTTATTGTTTAAAGGTTTTTCTTTCTACTTTATTTTTTGTTAATCATTGTATGGAACTAAATTCTCTTCTTCATAGGACGCATATCTTCCGCAGAGACTTATGGATAAACTTATGAGCTTCATTAACTATCTAGAAATGGCACGTGTGACAGGAGTTCCTTTTAATTATCTTCTTTCGCGCGGTCAGCAAATCAAGGTCGTTTCACAATTGTACCGAAAAGCATTCGAACAGGGACTGGTGATTCCGGCGCTGAAATCAGAAGGCATGCAGAGTTTCTTGTTTGCATTTCTTCATGATCACACGCTCATAACACAGCTTAAACGTAATCGATTGCTTAGGAACTGATGATCAATTCGAAGGGGCAACAGTAATTGATCCCGAAAAAGGATTTTATAATGTTCCAATAGTAACCCTTGACTTCAGCTCCCTGTACCCATCAATCATGATTGCTCATAATCTTTGTTACACGACCTTGCTTGACAACAGAGAGATTGAAAATCTGAAATTGAAGAGTGAAGAGGACTACATAACTACACCGTATCTCTCGGGTATTTATTGCTTAGTAATGTTTGTTCGGTATGAACGAAATATGATATTTACTACATTATTTTAGCTCGATTCGTGAGAGCTCATCTCCGGAAAGGATTACTTCCGACAATTCTGGAAGATTTGCTTGCTGCACGCAAGAGAGCGAAAGCTGACCTGAA